TCCCGCACGTCAAACTAGTTGGCAATATGCTAACTGGAAAACCGGCTGGAAAACGGTGGCTCAAATTTTGTCAGACTATTTGTCATTCATGTGGAAAATCGTATACCTAAATTGAATTTCGATTCGCAGTTGCGTTACGACAGGACGCATCAAAGATATTTGTGACGTAGTGGTTACTCTGTTTTACCAGGCGAGATGCGTAGCTGAAGTTTGTAAGGATGTTCTTTATTCACGTGCAGTCTTAATTCAGCTTAAAGTTGAAATTACTTGCACGCAGACATGACAAATGCTCAGTTTTATCGCAAACTCAGAAGCGAGTCCATTTTGCAGATTTCACAATCCTCTTCGGACTTCTTTCAAATTTGCATTTTTTTCAGTGGACGAGCATCGGCCAGAAAAACGAGCGGGCCTCATGCAAAAAAATGATAATCATGCACACTGGAGGTCCATGTGGCCCGACAATGCAGCACTTTCATCCCAGCCGACGCACTTTCCGCCTGTGTGCATGAGGAGGCCAAAAACACATCGGATGTCTAAATTTTAAAGTGCAGCGCAGAACCAATTTGTGCTTTTATCGATCTGCAGGCTTAACGCAAAAACGCATGATCGCATTGGCAAGCCTGGTGCGTTGCAGCCTGGGTTTGAAGTGGTCTCATTTGTGTTGCTGGTAACCGTACATTCCTGTTTTTCTTCGTTCTCGTCTTTTCGGTGATTTCATTGTACACTTTTTGGCTTTAGAAGAATTCGACTTATATTCTGTTTTTAATTTTGTTGGGCTTTTATAGTTATTTAGTAGCTTCAGTCGAATAACAAGTCCTACATTTGTTTTCCAAAAGCATCAGATATTTCATCATTAGATGCTTTTGTGACATCATAAGGAATTATGATAACTAGAAGTTAACAAACAACTAATGTAAAATTCATGTTTGTTTTCACCTTCGATGTGTTGTGTTTGTGATTTTTGACTTCCACGTATTTTTTCTTGTAACAGCTGAAAGAAGCCGGGGTATAGGAAATTTCGAAAACGTGCATTATTTGCTAAGTTAGCAGATACTGTCCAAGATTCATATATGATAGGGATTTCGTCAATTATTTTACGAAATTCAAATAAAATATTTGTACAGTATCTGCGTTTGGGCATTTTCTGCGGTGGTAATTTAGTTTTTATCACTACATAACTTGCATTATATTTCTACATAATTTGCACTGTGCCGTATAAAATCCAAATACAGATACTGTACAAATACTACACAAATTCATACAGATATTGTACAAATTTTGTATGCGCCTCACTCGGAGGAAAGTCGACAGAACAGACCTTGTCAGGATCGGAGCGCAGTTGCGGGTGTGCTGCGGATGCGGCTCAGCTATCAATATTGTTGGAGCAGCGGGGTAAATCGACGAAATAATTCAGCACAGTCGTGTCAGCAGGCATTCGCAGAGCAACAGCACCGAGAAGGGCTAGGCTGAAGAAGTATTTAGAAGAACTCAAAAACTTTTCGTTAGATCTGCCTCTATCAACAAAAGATGCGGAAGCAGCTTATGAAGGTAAATGGCGATATCTTCAGGGAAAAAATCAATCAGATAAGTGAAGCTGTCGACTATGTCGACAAGAAAAATGAAGAATGGCTGCGGCTAATAAGAAGTCCAGACAATCCAGATGTAAAAGCTGATGATGCTGAATATGACTCAATGCTCAAAGATGAGAATGACGGCCTCGTCTGGGTCTTGGATCGTGCAAAGGAAGCGCTCGCATCTCTCGAAGCTTTATATCAAGAGGTTTTACGGGCATTAGCTAAAACTCCTGGCTCACAGCATCCATCACTTATTTCGAAGCAAAGCAAAGTGTTCGCACCAAACCAGCAAGGTACGGACCGAAGCTTTTCTCCAGGAAGAATATCGAACGTTTCACATAGTCCAGATCAGGTTCAGCGTTTTATGCACGGTTTGAGGTCAAGCTTCCAAAGCTCTGTCTAAAAAGCTTCGACGGCAACTCAAAGAAATGGCGAGAATTTAGTGCACATTTCCAATCCGCAA